TACAAAATTTCTTATATTGTGGAATTTGCGTTGACCGGACATGCAACTCGCATGACAGCATTGTTCAAATCTTCAAAACTTTCTTTCAAAGCACCCAACGTAACAAAGTGTTGACAAAACAATTATTTTCTACGGTAAGCATTTCTTTACTTCTCCTCCTTCTCACCCTAAACTCCTTGTCTTTAATCGCGTATTAATAATTTAATTTACAAGGGGGATCTATTCATGAATACGTCGCACCAATTTTAAATTTTTTTGACGTTAAATAAATAGAAACATGAAATGTATATTCGATAAATAAAATGATGTATTCTATACTTGATGAATGAATCGATGTATAACATATTTGGTAAATGAAATGATACATGCATGCATTTGAACAAATTGGAACCCTCCGACAGGTACAAAAAAACCGCTATGGAAAGAAGAATCATATGCTTTAAGGGTTTTTCGAATTACGTTAAAAGTTTAATATGACCTCGCCTAATATAACATCGTTTAAGGCAATTTGCCTCTAGGCAAAACTTTCTTTTATTTCTTTGCCACTAGAAAAAAATTGGTCATATATATTGAAAGTTAAAAATTGTATGTATGTCTTATGTCAAATTATTAAGCTATATTTAAGGTTTAAAAAAATCACGTGAAAACAATTGAATATGTGTTTGAGGCTATTGAGAGTATAATTTTGTAGAATAGATTTAATTAAAAAGCAATCTCTATATTCAATAATATAGTTATAGGAGAACGTAGGCATTTTTTTCCGATTTTTGAGATATTTTAATGAAAAGCAGACCTGCGTCGTATTATTATTTTTCTGTATTGTAATCGAGAAAAAATTAAGCAAAAATTTGGAACCACTTTTGAGAAAAAATTGTGTGGGATTAATATAAAGTACCGCTAAAATAAAAATATTTATTTCAAATTTGAAGGGTCCCAAAAACACCCAAATCAATCGGGGAACATTAATTTTGGTGAAAATCATGGGAACGGTTTAGTCGCTAGTACGAATAGCTCGCTGACAGGCGAACGGACATACAGGCATATTGAGAAAAGCAACATTTTTGGTATCGAGGACCCACAAAACATATTCTCAGTTCACTACGTTTTCGAGAAAGTCATGTACTATGTATAGGAGCAAGGAAAAAATCAATTTTTGTCGGTATTAGGGACTCCAAATTTGTGATTTTATGGCCAAAATCGGTACTTTTTTCTGTGGCATTACAAAACTTTCTCTTTCTACGAAATAGATTCAAGATAACTAATATTCGACGGGACGTTATTTTATTCATTCAAAAATAGTGTCTTTTACAACCCTCAATACGTTAGTCGGTAAAAACTCGTCCATCATGGCATGAAAATTCTATTGTCACGTTTGTCTTATTATGCATAATCAAATACATCGCCCACAATATAAAGAGCAAAAATCCGAGTTGCTACTGGTATACCTAGAATGTAATTTTACATAAAAATTCTTTTGACGACCTGGATGGCCCAGGTGCCTAAGAGCATGTACCGACTCAGCCCTTCAATCCAGCATGGTTGAACATGGTTGTTTGTCACGTTTATGTTGACGCGCAGGGCCTCGCGTTCTGCTGCCCACAGAGCAGAGGAGCCCGCAAAATGTTTTAGTATCTACTGTATGGTCAAATATGCGTCCCATCAGGACGCTGAGGGTACCCGGTTGTCGACTCGAAAGAGCCCTAAGAAGAAGAAGAAAAAAAAGGTCTATTACGTTAATTCGTAATAACGTTCTGTATAGACGAACGTTAAGTGTCGAACGTGAAGTGGATTAATCCTCCTTGAACCTAGTCATACATCGTCAGTTGTAGTCAGTCATTGCCTTTTATCCCTTCGATCCGAGCAACTCTTCTCCTTAATCTTCGTTAACGTAACAGTGGTATGAGAGGTAAAGTTTCACGTAACATTATACGAATCACTAGTTTTCCAATACAATCTGCCGTCCGATTCTCATTAATTTTCTCTTATTTGAAACATTCCTGACTCAAATATTTTAATTATACAGGATAAACGTATTAAAATTACAAAAAATAGAAGTATAAAGGAGAGTTCGTTGAAAATTCGTATTTAAAGTATGTAACATGAACAATGAAATTAATGGCATAATGCATTCATTTACAATTGTCTGCCAGGGAATCAAAGAAAAAGACAGAATTGAACATATTTTCACCATCTTTTAATCTATTGCCTAGAGTTTATACGCAATTGCTAGACAGAACACGACATATTTCACTGGACGTGAAGAATTATTTTTATAACAATAAAATGGCTATTTGAACTGAAAGAGCCTTCAGCATCAACCAGTTAAGAAGTTTATGCACAATAACGGCTTACCAGACCAAATATCTTCACAAAAATTGTATCACTGATGCCAATAACACAGCAGAGATATCAAAATAACAGAACACGGATGTCATGTGCTTATTAGCTGTGACCGCGCTGTCTTGACTTTAGCAGAGACCAGAAGCATACGACAGCAAATAAGTATTGCGGAGAAGACATATTGAGCTGAGTATGGTAATGATTTTCTATCGTTACGGCCACCCAGGTTCTTTATCATTATCTTACTAAAATGCGCGACTATTTACAAGTTATATATTTTCCCGTTCATCACACCAACCAAACGGTTGAATTCATCGGAAGGTCGTATGGGTCGTATCAGTGAATTCGGCTGCCTTTTAGAGCAGTCGTGTCGGACAGGTCAAATTCCAGGTCGACAGTGATGAAGAGTTGTTGGTCGTTTGTTGCCACTCTCATAAAACCGGTAATTCTGATTAAGATTCGGAAGATGGCGTGAGATAATGGTGGAAACCAGTTTTCTTTGAAGAATTAACAAAGCAAATAAGAGACAAACTGGTATTTGAATTTGTTGTGTCCTCCTGGAGGGAAATACATTTCTCGATCAGCAACCGATATGTAGCTCTAATCCTTTTGGTCAACTGTATTTCTGTTTTGGTTGCGCAAGATATTTTAGTAGAATTAGGTAAAAGAACTCAGCCGGTTTATTTGTATAAATGTATGGGTTGTTTTTACAGAAGGATTTAGTATTTGAATTTAGGAGTTTGAATATGCTAAATGACAAATATAAGTATACAAATGATAATCTAAGTTTCCAATTATTTTTCATGAAACCTCCGAAGTGCCTTTCTAGAACAGGTCATAAGACTGTGTACGTACTTTCCTATGTGTTTTAAACCGCGTAATTGCTCAGCTCTGAAAGGAATGAGGTATAAAAGGCTGAATGTGACAATCCTGACAGCATCTATGATGGTACATGAAACACGACTAAACGTTTTTTCCTTCGTGAATTAAATTATGGGGTGTATTCAATTTCTCCAAATTTCGTGACAAATAAGGCATAGTGCATGACGTTGGAGAAAAATAAATATTCATTGCTCTTCTCGTTACTTCGCAACTTTCTGTAAATCCGTTCTGTAAATTTCTCGAAAAATTGATAACTTCATTATTGTTTACAAAACAAAGTGAAGCATTGTTAGTTTTTTGATATTTTCAATCAATAAATAATTTTCCGTGCGGAATATAATTAATTTATATTGACTTTTAATGCTTCAATAAGACATGTTCTACTGAAAGGTTTTTAATAACCAAAGTCACCTGTTTTAACTCAATATTTTTCCCCTTCGTGTCCGTAAGCGATTCCTCAAATGAACACTGTTTCATTCAAAGTAAGTTTATGTCATTAATCTCATGTTCAGGCCGCAAAGATGCCAAGCAAGTTCTCGGCGTAAGTCATCATTCCAGAGGAGTCAGAACAGAGCACTAATGCAAGTACCTCGGAGAAAGTCGTAAAACCAACAACTATTAAGTCATTTCCAGAAGATGAAATAAATTAATGCATTTCCTTTACCTTCAATATTAACTTTCTTACTCTATATACATTGTCGTAACTGTTTCATTATCGATAGAAGATTCATTTACCGTCCGAGCAATATACTTATTTTTACGATACTCAGGAGCCCGATCATTAAAATACAACTGCAACTTTCTCATTTTCTCAATACTTCATTCGCGTTTATTTCAGCAAAAGTTTGGTTCGTTTAACAAAAATATTGTCAGAAAACATATTTGAAAAAGATTTTGTTTCGTTACCAAATATTTCACCTTAGAATATAAGTATATACCCATATTTCATTAGAAAAATAAAATGAAATATTTAAGAAACAAATTGATATCATTTCAATTACAGTTTTAAGCTGTCAGTTGGACTCTGTTTTTTCACCTGTCATATCGAAAGAAAAATTTATTACGTTCGTATCATTACACACGTTTTTTGTTTCTGATTATCCTGACTACTAATGATCACTCTTTACATATTACACATTGGCACATTTCGTAAAGGAAAAGTATTTTGAATATTACCTTCAGAATTGAACAGAACAAACAAAAATTGGCAATTATTTTATCTGCATGAAATTCCAAGAATAGTATTCAATCCTAATAATTCATGCAAATCAATAAAAAATATTGAAAACAAAATAAACGAAAAGCGCGAAGAAAGATTTCGAAACAATATCTAATTACTAAGATCCGGCACAATTTAAACTTTTTAGATAAATCCCACTTGCAGGATGTCCGTTGGCTGTGCACTTGCTTCGCAGAAAATGAAAGTGGTATGCTGTTTCGTCGTCGAAATGAACTCTTTTTCGTTCAAGTTATAGATTCTCATTTCGAAAATTAGTCTGGGCCTCACGCTATAAAACGAAGCCCGTGGTCAGAAATATCACATTTACACGTGGTGAACATTATGACACATTAAGAACAGTATACCAATTCCTTTTTTCTAGAGATTTTGTGTTGTGTATTACTTTGTAGGAATTTCGCGATTCCATCAGCCAAAAAACGAGGCACCTTGTCCCTGGTAATGACGGTGCACATTTGCGCAGCCGGACCTGTGGGTGCGAAGACGGAGCGAGCCGAACCGAAAAGCGAATTAGGACAGCAGAAGAAGGCGAGGTACTCACGTGCAGCGCTTCGTAGCGCGACCATATGGAGGCGGTCATCGTGTCTCGCCGGAGGTAGCGGGCGGCCGGCGGGCGGGAGCGGAGCGAGAGTCGAGAGTCGGGCTTCGGCTGCGAGAGGCGCGGACGTGACGGGCAGCGCACTGGCTAGCGCTCGTCTGTCGCCGGGCCCGCTAGGGGAGTCCGGCGGGCGAGGCGCGGCGGGCGAGCCGGACGTGCGAGAGTGAGCACGACGACGACTGCGTGGGGTCCGTGGCGAGGCGGTTGGCCGGCGTCAGCTAGCGACGGCGACGGTGAGGAGGTTGGCGCGGAACGCAGAGGTGAGCTAAGGCACGGCGCGGCGGCAGATGCGCGGTTCTGAAGAGCGCGCGCCCGTGGCTGCAGCTTGTGTTCTTATCTGCAGAAAAAGTGGCCGCAAGACGAAAAGGGAGGAGCTACGGCCGATCGCCACTTTCTCTCCGCCGCCTCGCCGCGTCGCGCCAGCCACTCACACACGTCGCGCGCGCTCGCGCGGCCCCCTCCACCTGCGGCGCTACTTAAATGACGGCCTTCCTCGCACGTCATCGTTGCTGACGTAATCGCGGGTGGGAACCCGCGCCCGTTCAAGGACAGTACCTTTTCCCCGGAATAATTACGCGCGGGACATATGATTTGGCGACGAGCTTGCGATGCACGAGGGACGGTGTGTTGTTGCTAGGAGTGCACGCGTGTCTGCAGCGCGCTCGCGGCGCTGGCACATGATCCAGTTTGCGCAAGGCAAACTGGTAACGTCCTTCGGAGAACGAGAGGATATGAATTCTAGAAACATGAACTTGCAGAATGCGCTTGCATCTTTTTACTGCTAGAAGTAATGGGCACTCCTGGCTTTTTATGCACAAAACCTATAGTACGTGACTCGTAAGAAATGTGTACGTAGACACCTACTTGTGGGAGCGGTTCAGAAGTGCTTGCAGCTCCCCGTGTAATATCATAGGGCCCCATGTATACGATGATATTATTATTATTATTATTATTATTATTATTATTATTATATAATTATTATTACTATTATTATTATTATTATTATTATTATTATTATCATTATCACCATTATTCCTTAAATGCCCGACATAAAATATTAGGTGTATGTTAAATATAAAATCTTCTCCACATTGTCACCAGCTTCCTAAGAACAGATCGAGTCATAGATTTTTGGTGAGCTTTCATTTCATTTGGAGTTTGTATTTGGAATCTCGAGGGCGTTACAGTTCTGTCAGTGCAGGTAACTATAGACCCTACCAGTCTTTTCATGTGTTCGGATCTCTTTACAATTAGACAAGTTGAGACGATATGATCAATATTTTCCTGTCGAAAAGGCATTTATCATCGAAAGACATTTTGAGAACCGCTTTATCATAATCTCTCAATGCCTGGCAACTATTACAACTGCTTCCCATTCTGGCTTCATTCTTCCCTTTTCAGACACATAAATATTGAACTTTCTTTATCTTTATCTTGTTCGTTATTTTTAGATATTGTCCGTGGAATGGTTTGTCTCCCCATGAATTCATTAACATTTTTTGTCTCTCATTTCATGCCAAGCAACATCCGCTACCCGTTGTGGGATTCTTCCGTATGTTGCGTAGTTTTTTCTTTGCAAAACTGCTTGCAACATTTACAATGCTCTTTCGGTCATATTTAATGACCAGCCACATAAATTGGACCACATATGACTGACCACATAATTTGCATTTCGAGCATTGCGTTGTGTCAGAAGGTTTCTGTTTGTCTGTGTCCTCTACCTCATTTGTGTGACACGTACCGTCTCCGTCTATGTAGACTGTTGCACTGCTCGCGGGTAAGCGACATGATGCATGATGATGATGATGATGATTATTATTATTATTATTATTATTATTATTATTATTATTATTATTATTATTATTATTATTTGGGTTAATGATATTTCATGGGTGTTAAACAAATATTTTTATGAATGACTTAATAATAATACTTATAGTATACACAATATGATGCTAATTTACACATACCCACATCAAATATGTTAACAAGTCTTTCGTAGCAACTTCAACAATTTACAATTGTAACATATTTGTTAATAATTTATAACCTCACTTAATCTACCAGAAACTTTCTAAATTATGAACTTAAAATTATTGCTTTATTGCGACACGCCTACATTTAAGATCTAGTACACACAATTTAAAAGTCTGAATCAATATTGTTTGGGGTTTTTACGCGATCACGAATCCAAATCAAATGCAAGGATCGTAGCGCAAACACCTACGAGCCTTCGTGTCCCTTCCTTCCCCTTCCATAAACATAGCCTCACGGGCCATTTCAAAGGTCGATTGCTTTGGTAAGTCGAGCTGATCCCTAAGCTCGGCAATGTGACGATTGTTTTCGATTCTAACGTCAAGCTACTTCAACATTTTCTGATGGAAACGGAAATGGTGATGAGTATTTTTTCACCAGATATTTTTATTTGCCTGCGACGTCGCTTCCGACGTCTCGCATCCATTGTACTCCGCACATACTTCAGTTTATGTTAGAAGGGGCCAGCGACAGACGCCCCGGAGAGCGTTTAAAAGCATCAAAACTATTTCTTGGTCAAATATTTCACGACACGTAATGCTGAATGTTACAAACCTGATGTATATTCCCAAATATTAAGGTCGAAAGTCAATCTAAATTTCTACAAAACACACACTCGTTCCTGCTCGAGGATTGGGGGTTAGAATTCCGCGTAAAATATTTACCTTGTACTCGGAAAAAAACTTAACTCTACAGAACATCTAAATTAGTGTTTGTTATTCCAAAGTTGCCCAGACAATTCAAAACAATGTTCACACATATCAACAAATTTCCATGAGCTTCTGAATTTAATAAAAGACCCCTTAAACAATTTTTCAGCTGAAATTGTTATTCTTACAAACTCATATTTTATCCACGCACTATAATTGTGATAGATAAAACATCAATTTGTCTGAAATAGGAGTGCATTATTGGCTGAAATCTATATTTAACTAAAGTGTACTCGTATACTAGTTAAAAGAATTATGCCACAATATACAAAATAAAAGAGCATTAATTTAATAATACAGTTTTTTTCAAATTGAAACTTGTAATCATCAGAAATATATAATTTTTCTAAACCAGTTTTTAACACAGATTACAATTTTGCATTCGGATTTGCGCCATCACCCATAATTTTTCTACAACAGTGAATCCATTTATTGCACTAAACGTATGTCATATTCCATTTCTTTACAAATTGTGTTAGTAAAGGTAGTGTAGAAAGTGTAGCTCAAGTGACATTTTTTTAAAATGTTCGCAAAAGTTTCGTGATTCTATTACGAGAATCAGATTTTTTTTCAAGAAATGTTCACTCTCCCTGTTTGGGGTCGCAGCAAAGCAGAATAAATATAATTTTATTTCATACGTCCTAAGGGAGAACTGTTAAATTGTAACCGACCCAGCGCCAGACCGTTGCGCCCGACCGGTAGATCACGCCACCGGATGCAGCCCACGGCTCTCTAAGAAACACACGTGCGAGCTTCGCCTCCCTTCGCCCGTTAGCAGTTTGCAACGGACGGAACTCTCCAGAACGTTCTATCGCCAAATTCATATGGCTAATTGTGATTGGTCACTGCCATCACCTCCCCCTGATCGCAAGGAAACTGGCAGTCTAACGACGCTCCCGTCGTTAAACCGGCGATTCAGTTCCACAGAAGCAGCGCACGAAGCCACACGTGTGGTCAGTGTTGGCGGCCTCCGTGTGTAAATAACATACGTAAACGTTTACTGTGCAATCTCGGCTGTTCCCGGTTAGCTCGCTCAAAGTATCATTCTAATTGTGATAAGTAGAGTTCCACCCAATTCGTGCGCTACAACGAATTCCACCTATGCTGTCGGTGTAATGTAAGTTACGTACACTAGACCACTCGCATCAGGAAATTTGCTAGTACTGTGCTCCAGCTATCATGTACTGTGATGTTGTAACTGTGACATGTAATCAAATGCTCAAGTGTAGTGATTATTAAATGTAGTTGTGCAAGATCTTCTTTTCTGTCAATCCAGAACTTCTACATAAATTTTCCCTGAGCTATCAAAGGGTTCCGGGACTGCCATGCTCCGCCTTCACCTCATCAATGCAGTCCAGTTCAAAATATCCATCATTAAGCGCAGTAGCACGAACAGTCCTACTGAAAGCGTGACCAGGCATCTTGTTCTTCTGAAGTCATCGTTTGAGTGATCGCATCATCTTTTAAAATATCTCAGATTTGGAGGCCTCCGAAGGGTCTTTCATTTCTGCTGCAATGAATTCTGGATTTTTTTACAGAAATACTGGAATGTTCAAGAATTTGCCTTATGCATTGTCTTCGCCAAACAATGAATCCAATATTGATATGAAGAGGAGGGTCAACTATTTTGGGATCCACATAACATAATGATTAAGACATGAAAAATATGTTTTGAAATATTACATTCGATTTCATGTTGGTATATATTCAATCATCGAATTTGGGCCGTCTTCGTCGCAGATAAATGACACTTCACCTTGATTTGTTCAGAAAATGCCCAAAGATATCTGCCGAAACGAACTACACGTGAAACAGTAATCAATGATCAGCTAAATACATTACCATCTTTTCTGTGTACTGTACTGTTATGGTCACGATATCTTTATGGATATATTACGTGCGTCAGTAGTTTCCTAGAAACGTAATGAATTCTTTCTTCGTTAAAATTCTTTTGCGAGCCCTTCCTGTTACGCTCCCTTGAAATATCTAATGTTTCCTCCATGCTCATATCGAAACCGCAGCTTTCCTACTTCGTAGACTGCTGTGATTCTCATTTAGATCGCTTTTCTTTCCCAAGGTACGTAGGTAAATGATATTTTAAAGGTTTCGTTGGCTCGTGTTTTTTTATCATTTCAATAACATGGTCATTTCTTCATGTGCATGCATGGCGAAATAATTTTACTATTCAGACACCCTGGAAAGTAATATTTACGGAACATTTTCCATTACTTCTGGCCTTAAACATTCTTCTTTGGTCCTATCTTCCATATACGGAAGTTAGGTGACCCATAACGGGTTTTCTTGGGATAAATTATTCAGGGTGGTTTCCCGTTGCATTCCCTGCGCGGCCTAAAACCATA